TCTTCTTCTTCTTCTTCTTCTTCTTCTTCTTCTTCTTCTTCTTCTTCTTCTTCTTCTTCTTCTTCTTCTTCTTCTTCTTCTTCTTCTTCTTCTTCTTCTTCTTCTTCTTCTTCTTCCTTCTCCTTCTCCTTCTCCTCCTTCTCCTTCTCCCTCTTCCTCTCCTCCTCCTCCTCCTCCCCCAAACCCCCTCCTCACAACCCCACTCCCTTCTAGCACTGATGATGTTACCTAGTTGGGTGAAACGTCTGCAAGAAAACAACCAAGCTCAGAGAGCATCAAGGACCCCTTTCTTCTCCCTTTCTCTCTCTCTCTCTCTCCTCCTCCTCCTCCTCAAACAAGCTCAGAGACCAACAAGGACCCCTCAGAGCCCCTCTCAATGGAAGGGAGATTTTTAGGAATAGGGCAGAGCCACACAACAATTCTCAAAAGGCAGCAACAACCACACCCTCCCCCTCAGGCTAAGCTTCTACAACCCACCGAGATGAAATGTCACTGCACATGCTCAGAGGTGCCCTTTGCTATAGGGCGCTGCGAACGGGCTTGATATGGGTTCCCTAAGGAGAAGGAGAAGTGTTTTACCTGGAGGAGGACTTTCACGCACTGGGGCTGGCAAGCGATGGTGGCCAGGTGCAGAGCTGTGCTGCCTGCAAAAACATGAAGTGTAAGATAAGAGGATTGGAAGGGACTTCAGAGGTCTTCTAGTCCAACCCCTGCTCAAGCAGGAGAGTCTATAGTACCATTTCAGATAAATGATTGTCCCATCTCTTCTTCGAAACCTTCAGTGTTGAAGCAGCCACAACAGATTAAGAGTTGGAAGGGACCTTGGAGGTCATCTAGTTCAACCCCCCACCCAAGCAGGAGACCCCACACCTTTTCTGACAAATGGCAGTCCAGTCTCATCTTGAAAGCCTCCAGTAATGAAGCTCCCACAACTTCTGAAGGCAACTTCTGTTCCATGAAGGGATGGTTCTCACTGTTAGAAAGTTTCTCCTTATTTCCAGATTGAATCTCTCCTTGTTCAGTTTCCATCCATTATTCCTTGTCTGGCCTTTGGGTGCCTTGGAAAATGGCTTGATCCCTTCCTCCTCTCTGGGGCAGCCCCTCAAATATTGGAAGATGCTACCCTGCCTCCCCTGGTCCTTCTATTCCCTAGTCTAGCCAGGCCCAGTTCCTGCAACTGTCCATCGTAATGCCCTGGGAAAAAAGGGTAGGGGGGTCTTTGGGCTGGTACCCACCATCCTCGTTCTTATCGTTGACGTCGGCCCCATGGGTGAGCAGGATGGTGAGGCACTCTGTGAGTCCCTTGGAAGCTGCCAGATGGAACCTGCAATAAAGAGATTTTTTTAAAAAAACCTAGAATTTTCCACTAGGAAAACCTAGGAATCCCACAGAATATTTGAGAAGCCCCCCACTTCCTTGGCAGAATGAATGGGACAACTCGCTGCGGGACAATTCGCCACGGACAACTTGCCCTGGCGCACCTCGCCATGGGACAACTCGAGAAAAAGAAAAGTGAAATAAATTTGGAGGGACGCATGGCCAATAAACTAAACCATAAAATAAAGTAAATAAACTCGCTCTCTCTGGGCACAATAAGAAATATATCTGCTGAACAATACTCCGGATTGGTGACAGGAAGGGCATCCAGCCAATAAAGACTCAGCTCCATTCAGTTGCCCAGACCTCCAGGAAGTGGCAGCGGCCATACTGTCCCTCTCGAAGGCCGAGGGGGAAAACTTACGTACGCAGATTGTCCCAGGGCGTTGAGCTTGGTGGGGTGGGCTGTCTTCCTCGAGGCAAAAAGAGATGTTCGGGTCACGTCCCCTTTCTCAACGGCGTCAAACAGCTTCTGGTCGTGCTTGTTCCAGCTTTCAATCTGGGAGGCGAGAGAATACAGAATAGCAGAGTTGGAGGGAGCTTGGAGGTCTTCTAGTCCAACCCACAGGTGGTAATCAGCTGGTTTGGACCACTACTGGGGAACTGGTAGCAGAAATCTTGAGTAGTCCGGAGAACTGGCAAATCCCACCTCTGACTGGCCCCGCCCCATCTATTCTCGACCTCCCGAGTCCCAGCTGATTGGCTGGGTCTCCTTTGGTTGCCCTGCACAGGAGAACGGAGCTGGAAAGCAGGTTAGTGGGGTGGGAAGGGAAGGGAAGGGAGATTTTGCAGTATATCCTTCCTCTGCCACGCCCACAGAACACCACGCCCACTAAGCCACACCATAGCTGATCGGCTGGGTCTCCTTTTGTTGCCCTGCACAGGAGAACTGACCTGGAAAATAGGTTAGTGGGGTGGGGAGAGAAGGGGGATTTTGCAGTATATCCTTCCCCTGCCAGGCCCAAGCCACCCCCCCACCAAGCCATGCCCACCAAACCACGCCCACAGAACTGATAGTAAACAAAATTTGAATCCCACCACTGAGAATAACAGAGTTGGAAGGGAGCTTGGAGGTCTTCTAGTCCAACCCTCTGCTCAGGAGAATATTGTTACCATGTCACCCCCGGTCCTTCCTTTCACTATCCAATTCCTGCAACCATTCTTCATATATTTTATCTTCCAGCCAGGGGTGGGATTCTACCGGTTCGCACCTATTCGCTAGAACCGGTTGTTAACATTCCAAGCAGTTGGGAGAACCGGTTGTTAGAAGAAATTACTGGGCTAATCCTGTCAGGAAGGCAGGAAGGAAACATTCTGGTGTTGCTTAAGAAACCGCCTCTCCGTTAATCCATATTACATTCTTGGCAGGACTAGACTTCCTGTCTCAGGAACTTCTCTGGAGTTTTTTTCCCCTCCTTTGCTGGTACTTTGCTTGTGTGGAGTGACCATTCAAAGTTACAATGGCACAAAAAAAAGTGACTTATGACCGTTTTTCACATTTACGATTGTTGCAGCATCCCCACGGTAACAAGAGGCCAGGCGAGGAGATGCGTGCCTCAATGTGAGTGATGTTGAGTTGGCCACGCCCAGCCAATAACATGACCTCCAAGCCATGCCCACCAACTAAGCCACACCCACAGAACCGGTTGTTAAAAAAATTGAATCCCACCCCTGCTTCCAGCCCCCTCTTGGTTGCTCTTCTCTGCACTCTTTCCAGAGTCTCAGCATCTTTTTTACATCCTGGAGGCTAAAAACTGGGTGCCATATTCCAAGTGTGGCTTTATCAGGGCCTTATAAAGTGGTATGAATACTCCACGTGATCTTGATTCTATCCCTCTGTTGATGCAGCCTAGGACTTTCCTGGTTTTTTTTTGCAGCTGCCACCCACGGCTGACCATTCGGATGATTTACATGTGGATGTTTGACAACTGACTCATATTTATGATGGTTTCAGTGTCCCTGGGTCATGTTTCCTTTTGTTTTGTTTTATTGTCTCTTGTGCTCCCTGAGCTTGCTGGTTTTCTTGCAGACATTTCATGACCCAATTAGGTAACATCATCCGTGCAATGACCCCACAGTTCAATCTCGAGGTACAAATATTTCTTCTATCTACGTGATTTGATTTGATTATTTGATTTTATATTTTATTTTACTCTATTTCATTCTTTTAAAATTTTTTTATATATTTCAAGATTTTATTCTGTAACTTATTTTATTCCATGTTGTTCTAATTCATTTCATTTTTTAATTTATTTATTTCATTTTTTATATTTCTTATTTTTATTGTATTTTTTATTTTATTTAATATTTTATTCCATTATTTTATTCTATTATTCTATTTCCTTTCATTCAATTTTATTTCATTTATTTTTTATTTATTTGTTTTTATATTTCTTATTTTTTAATGTTTTTATTCTGTTATATTTTTTATTTTATTTCATTTATTTTAATATTTTATTCTATGATTTATTTTATTCTATTTTATTCTAGTTCATTTCATTTCATTTTTCATTTTTTTTATTTTACTTATTTAATTTTTTAATTTAATTTTATTGTATTATGTTATTTTTTTATTTATTTTATTATTTATTTCATTTCATTATTCTTTTTATTATATTTAATTTTATTATTTCATTTCATTATTTTTATTATATTATATTTTATTATTATTTATTTCATTTCATCATTCTTTTTATATCATATGTTATTATTATTTATTTCATTTCATTATTTTTATTATATTATATTTTATTATTATTTATTTCATTTCATCATTCTTTTTATATCATATGTTATTATTAATTTAATTTCATTATTCTTTTTATTATATTATATTTTATTATTTCATCTCATCATTCTTTTCATTATATTATATTTTATTATTATTTATTTCATTTCATTATTCTTTTTTTTTTTTTAGCATTTTATTTTATTTTATTTAGAGCTGCACTCTACAGTGCCCTTTGCGAAGTGAACATAACTTCGCTTCTCAGCTCCGACTCAGCCTCGCCTGGGGACTCTGCCCACCCCACCACCACCCCCGCGCCCTTGGGCCCGGTCCGCATCCTGCCTCTGGAGCCGTCCCTCCTTGCTGTTTGCTTTGGCAAGCGGATCAGTTTTGGGGAAATGAACTCCCGGCTCTGCCTGACGGGGGGGGAAAAAAATGCAGTTGTGAAGACAGTGCATGACAAAGCCAC